GTTGCTCCTGAGTACTTTAGAGAGGTCCCTAACAGCAGACTTACCCATCACGATACGCTTTTTGATTTCCTGACTGCTGGTGCCAAGATAAATATCTACATATCTATATAGATATATATCTGTATAGATATATACAGATATAAAACCATCAGATTCAAAAGGGCCAACTGTACTATAAAAATTGGTTTGACTAGTTAAGAAAAAGTGATTTTTAAAAAAGCAGCATTGTATTTAATAGGTCATTAATTTGTTATCGTTATTGCTTTTGTTAACATTCCTTTGATCTACTTTCTCCAGTTCTGTTTTATATTTAATGTCATCTGACCACATTATTTTACCTTATTAATCTTTCTACTTATTTTTATAAATTACACTGATACTTAAAAAGTCATGAAATCAAGGAGAGGAGAGAAACAAATTATAGACCCATTTTACTTACTGTATCAGTGGAAAAATGGTAGTTACTTGAAAATAATCAAAGCCATTGAGTGAGTCACTTTTCACAACTGGTAACTCATACTTTCCTTAGCAAACTGCACGTATGCTTTTCAATGGCTATGATCAAACACACGAACCACTATAACTTTCACCTACAAGCTGTTGATTAGACTCGAACCACAAAACGTTTCACAGAAAATCCTTTTCCGATACAGTCACTCTGTGTATTCCACCTCTTCTCTTTTGATGCCATATGTGTCATTTAATAGTTTCCCCATAAAACTGTTCAGTATTAGCACCACAGCCAAGATAAAGGTAAATAACCCAATTTAAAAATGGGCACAGGATATAAACAGACACTTCACCAAAGATGACATTCAGATGGCAAACACACACATGAAGAAACGTTCACAGCTCTAAGAGAGATGCAAATCAAAACAACTATGAGGTATCATCTCATCCAATAAGAACAGCAAACTGGAACCCTTAATCACTGTTGGTGGGAGTGTAAAATGGTGCAACCACTATGGAAGGCTGTATGGCACTTTGTCAAAATGTTGCAAATAGAAATATCATTTGACCCAGCAATTCCACTACTGGGAATCTACTCTAAAGAATCCATAACAGCCACCCAAGCAGATATATGCACACCCATGTTTACTGTGGCTTTGTTCACAATAGCAAAGAGCTGGAAACAACCCAAGTGCCCATCAACAAATGGAGAGAGAAGCTCTGGTATGTTCACACAATGGAATACTATGTAGCACTGAAAAACAAGGAACTCCTAAAATATTGTGCAAAATGGATGACCCTGAAAGACATTATGCTGAGTGAAACATCTCAGTCACAAAAGGACAAATATTGCATAGGACCACTGCTGTAAAATGGGACTGACATTGGGGTTGAGAGAAGACAGAAAAGGAAGGGAGGAATGTTGTACGTTGCATTGAAACAGATAAGAGAGAGAACTGTTTATAAGGGATATATGAATGGGTATTCTTGTCATTAAAGAAGTCCAGAGTGAAGGCTGCATAGTGGAGTGGATTTGGGGCAGGGGGGAACTGCATAACAATAAAAGAGGTTTTCTTTTTCGTTTCAAGAAGAGTGAATTGGGGGGAGGGGGAGGTAGGGAGAAAAGTGAAACAATGAATGACTGGAAACCCTAAGTCTCTGTAAACTTCCATTAAAATTAATTTTAAAAAATGTTCAGTATTGCAACTCAAGTTTTGAATTTTATTCTTCAGTTATTTTAGTTTGAGAAATTCTGGGTGTTTTCTTCTATTTTGATTTTTTAACTACAAGGTTTTGCATATTTTATTATACTTTGCCTTGTATTCTTAAGCTGCCTTAAAAATGTTCTGTTCTACTCTTCTCATTTCTGCCTTTGACTTTAATCTCTATACATTCTTTGTATAGCACATTTCCAAGTCTCTTCTGATAGCTATTTTGGCCTTTTTCTTTCCTTTTCAATGACCTTTTTCCCCATTGATGACTGTCATTGATTTTTATCCCACATTTCATGTGGTCTCTAATTGTTAGTGTTCAGTGTATCATATCTATTCTTAAGATGATTTCTAAATTCAGTTGAGACATGCTCATGGACGTATTTTGGCTCTCATAGACTTTCACCTTCTTGAGCTTTAATTTCTACTTGCAAATGAGCAACTGACCGTCTATTCAACAGTGGGCATCTGTCCTTGTTCTGATGATATTTTTACTATCACTTGTTTCTACAGATGTAGTCAGTTTGATTCCTATGAATTCCATTAAGCAAGGTCCAAGTGTGTGTGCAACCGTCATTTGTAATTTTTTTAAAAAAGAAAAAAAAATGGATAGAATTCATAGAAAATAAACAGAAACAAAAAGCTATGAAACATGCTAATTATCATTATTCCTACTAATATACCAATTAAAACTAGAGCGTGATAACAGTTATAGCAATCAATTCTGTATGTTTTTTAATATTATCTGCTGAGTAAAATGTGGAGCCACTGAAAGGAATGTAAAATGGTAGTGCTATGACAGAGGAATTGGATCATACGTAACAAAATAGCATATTCATTTCTGTATCTTTGGCCAAGCAATTCTACTTCAATGATTCTACTCTGAATCATAGAGAGCTCTGGCGGCCTAGCAGTAAGAAGGTGCACTGTTAACTCCTAGGCACACAAGAGAAAGATGGCCAATCTTCTCTCATGTGATTTACTGCCTCTGAAAACCCACTGGTGGATCAGCTATGAGACAGATCTGACTTGACAGAAACCAACAACCATCACCACCTATCACAAATACAAAGTACACAGAGCAAGTTACTGCTCATCTATTATTTATAATAGTAAAATTACTAGAAGTAAATGCCAACAACACTGGATTGATTGAATAATTCTCCAGCTATGCATGGTAAATGTTTAACTACTAGCTTAAGGGGAAGAGGGAGCCCCCTAATTTGTAGTATTTCCCATGGAAAAGATTGCACCCCTGGCAATCAAAGCACCAAAGCAGCACTGAAGAAGAACTGGGAAGACAGATACTTAAATAGAACATTACTAAGCATTTTCTTCATATGAAAGCAATCAATAATAATAAAAAGCCATGAAAAAAATACTAGAAAGTAGTAAAATCACTCAGAAGTGACCAGTATAGTACTATTATATTTTTAGTATCTTTGTCTGTTTCTAATAACTTAATCAACTCTAAGTTTTCATAATTTAATTATAAATAATAGATGTGTTAAACATAAACAGTCAATTCACATAACTGCTAAAAATTTAACTATGTAACCATAAAAATAAAGTAAGGCTGACTAACTGATAGGGACAGTTTTCCAGAAAACACTGTAGAAGAAGAGTAGTATATACATTATTATATTTTTTATATGACAAAAATAAAAATAAGAGTAAATTATAAATTTCCTCCCCCACACACACAAAAAAAATACAGGAAGTACAAATAGTACCAATGAAAATGATTATCTATAAAGATTGGGGCTGAGTAGAGGATAAAAATCAGAAATGGAATTCTCCTTCTATGTATTTTACTTTTGAATCATGTACATAAACTTAAAAACACGCCAACTATTAAAGTCCTTAAAATTTAAACTGACAGTAAATTTCAAATGAGTAAATTAAGCAATGCCAACTTAAGCTTTCAGTATGAAAAATCTTAGTGGCAATTCTTTAATGTTTCCTTAAAAAAAAGTCAAGTCCGAAAAAAAAAAAATTGAAAAAAAAAAAGTCAAGTCCGAAAGCATCAATCTTTATTTGTAAAATCCTAAGTTTATTTCTAGTTGGGTTGTTGAGTACCATTGAGTTGGAACCAATTCAATAGCTGAAACTAGTGGGTTTTCAGTGGCAGTAGTCACACAAGACGAGATTGCCCATCTTTCTCACAGAGAAGCTGGTGTATTCGAACCACATGCCTTCAGGGCTGCAGTGGAGATTCTTACCATTAGGCCACCAGAGCTACCTTTATGTGTAATAATCTATACATATTTCAAGAAGCTCTAGGAGTATAATCCAGAGAGAACTGTGATGGTAACCCAACGGCTGAGCTGCTCTGGTGGTTCAAAATAAATACATCACTTTTCAGAAAGATGGGCAGTCTCCTTCTAGGCCTCTTATTTATAGCCTTGCAAACTTGAATAAAAGGTCAGCTATGATGAGTACCAACTCAGTGGAAATGGATTTTGTTTAAACATGTATTTCAAAATTATTGTGATGGGTCGTCTTCATAATAGAAAAATAATAATGAAATTAAATGACATTTCATACGAAATCGGACTTAATTAAGCTGTTAAGTTTATTAAAGTACTTTCCTTAAAATACTTTCAAAAAAAATATACTTATTTCAGACATGAATTACCTGTTTGTATTCACTGACACAACTTTGACAACAAAATCTTTTTTGCTGACCATCAATCACCAGAACATTATTTCCAGCGCCTTTGCTGGGTAAATATTCTCCACACTGCTCACAGCAATTCATTATTAAACCATTTGCCATTCTGTATCTATTAAAGCAGTGGTCACTGCACAGCTTGTGAGTCATATTTTTAAAGCTAACTTCATGGCGAATCTAAAAGGCAATAATAAAAAAAAAAAGAAAAAATCACGTCAGTTTCACAAGAAGCAAATAACAAGATTTTCAACACAACAATGAACCCTCACAGATTTTTCTGGCGAAACATGTTCCCACATTGTATTAGTCTCTGAACTGCTTTCATATATGCAAAGGGAAGGGGGGGAACCAAACAAAAAAACACAGTAGCAACATCTTAAAGCAAAAACCAACTGCCAATACATATGATTTGGTTAGTTTTTTCTATCAGTCTAAAGAAACAGAGAAACTGAAAAATGTTAACAAATAAACAACAAATTATAAATAAACAATATGTCACCAGAAAAGGGAAGAAAGGAATTCATATACAGTTTCAATAATGTATGCATAAATAAAATTCTTATTCTTTATTCAAATGCAACTACTTCAAGTAAGAGTTACATTATCAAAATATAGTCCCTTCACTTACTCTATTTCTAAACAAGGTTTTTTATTGTTTTTGTTATATTTTCCTTGTACTGCCATATGTGGTTTTCTAAATAAATAAATTGGTAGACCTAAATAAACCAAAATACTGTGGTGCTGTATTTCCACCCTCAGGAAAAATAGAGGTATCTTATTTTAACTTTTCCTACTTCATTCTATGGGAAAGCCTGCTGTTAGGGACCTCTCTAAAGTACTCAGGAGCAACAGTGTCTCTCTGGAGACTAAGGTGCGCCTGATACAGGCCATGGTA